CATCACTCCCCTGCCTTGTCCCGAGTCCACCCTTGGTGCCGCCAGCCTGGCCCCGCCGAGCCACCCAGGGCTAGATCCATCCATTTAGAGGGACAAGCAACCCTCTCCCCACTGATCCACTCTGCCTTGCCCCAACTCAGATGCAACCCTGGGGCTCAGGCTCACCCCAACAACCCCCAAAGAGACTGGGGGCAAGTTTGGGCTGCCCCCAGCAGAGCTGCAGCCCTCCAACCTGCCTAGCAGACCTGGATTAGAGCATTGCATCATCCCCCCTCACCCCCCCACACTCCCCAGGGGATTAGAGCCCTTTAATCACCCTGAGCCATTAACCCCCACTGAGACCAGCCGGTGCCTCCCCGACCCCCCCAGCCTGCCCCCCCAGGTGCTGAGGGGCACCCAAACCAGGCCCAGTGTCCCCCACATTACCTGCCTCTTCCCCCAGCCCCTGGGGCACAGCAAACCCCAGACAAGCCTCTGCATTCCCTCAGGCTCTGGAAGGATTTAGCCTTAAACCAGACACGTGAAGTCAGGAAGGTTTATTCCAGTAAACAGAATTTCTCTTGAGCTGAACAGTACGACAAACACCCGATTGCAGCACAGGGAAAGAAAACATCCACAGGAAGAATTTCCACAAAATACAGTTAAAAAAAATAAATGGTGTGATTGGAAAACTCTTATTTCAGAAAAAAAAAAAGTCTATGAGAAGCCTTTAAATTAAACAGTGTTGGATTCAAACCCTGATCGGTTCTGTCTCCGGGAGTGTGCAGGAGCAAAGGAGACTATTATTGCTTGCTGTGCTGGCTCCAGACACCCTCTCCTCTCCCAGAATTGCCCCAGGGGCAGGGTGCTGGGGACTCCCCACCGTGCTGGGCACCCGCGGTCCTCCTTGCAGCTGAAGAGGCAAAGGGACAGGGTCATTGTGGACGGAGCTTGCCAAGTGGGGGTAAACACCCCAGCAGTGGGCAGTGGCAGGTGGGGTTTGGTAAAGTCTCTAAAAGCCTCAGGTATTGCAGTGAAAGGGCAATGTTGGGGTGTGGCTCAAATGGAGATGGGGTTTGGGGTGGGGGAAGAACCAGGGAGCAGCAGGGATCAGAAGTGTTGGGTATCAGACCACCCCAAATCCCAGATCCCTCCTATACACCTGCTTGTGCCTACCAGGGTGTGCAGGGCTTCAAGGCAGGGCTGGAGGACAGGCTCTCATGAGGGGGCACCCCCCATCACCCCTATCTATCTCTAGCCCAAA